CTTACTGACATAAATGAACATTTGCACGATATTCTAATTTTTCGAGTTTCACCTGTACAAGCAACACTAGGGATGTGCATGAAATAGAAAATGTTTTGAACTCAGAACAAATATATTCTGTTCCAGAAGTTCTGCCAGACTTCTGGAACAGCTGTGGTTCAGCAGAAACAAAACTCAAACTATGGGGTTTTAGCCTGTATGAAACTTATAAGGAGGACAGGTGCCAGCCTTGCTCTGCTCACTTCATAAAATCATTTTTAGAGATGGTACATAACATCCCTCTCTTACCTCCTTCTCTCAGCAGCTCCCGGTGTGGCATATCCCATTGTGTTCCTGCTCTTCCCAGTGATCTCGTGTTCCTTTCTCACCTTAACTGCTGTTGCCACTGTTATCCTTAGCTTTCACCTGCTCCGACCCCCTCCCCAAAACACTTCTATCCAGAATAACCATGGTTGTGCTTGTATCTAGAAAAAAATAGTCTAGCTTTGTTCCATATTCAGACTAAACATGCATGTTTTAGCTCAAACACAAACCACCTGAAATAGCTGTTCCATGCACAGAACTGTTGCGCATCCCTAGAAAACACTAATGTTGAGGAAAACCTGACAAAAATAGAAGGAACACAAGGCTCAGAATGTATGCTTTGCCATATTAAATATTGTCAAATCAGTCTCATTTTCTAAATGTGAAGTACTGTCACCACAAGTATTATTATCCTATTTATGTACTTTTGAAAAGTGGTTTGTCTCTATTGAGGCAAGTTTCTCTATCACATGTTATTGATATCCTACATTTTCAAACATAGACAAAATTCTGTCATATTTTAACGATTTTATATATTACTTAAAAATAAAGTACTAGGAAATATGTCATCTTTAAAAAAAAATCTCAAGTTTTTTTTAAAGAAAATACTTTTTTAAAAATCTCATTCCCCCATTTTTAATTTTTTTTTTCCCCTAGGCCTTCAGATCTCTAGTTTTATCAACTTGGCTGTATAATGTATTTCCTCATTTCTGTTAGTTAATTAACTAGGTGGATCTTCTGTTGGATCTTGAATTTGCCCCCATCAGTGCAAACATTCCTGTGGGAGAGATTGATTCAGGACATTTCAATAAATGGAAAGGAGGTAGATTTTATCAATTCCCCCCTCCTCCTCTTTGCACTTTTCAAAGTTGAATTTCAAGGCTCCTTTCGTTCTGCCAGCTGCAGATCTCTACTGAATCATGCTATAAATCATTGTTTCTCAAGCTTGGCAACTTTAGGATGGGTGGATTTCAGTTCCCAGAATTCCCCAGCCAGCATGCTGGCTGGGGAATTCTGGAAGTTGAAGTTCACCCATCTTAGTTGCCAAGCTTGAGAAACACTGCTGCAAATGGAAGGCACCCTTTCATTCAGGAGAGTCAATGTCTGGATCTAGACGATTCTTTAATTTCTCTGAAATTAATAATAGTGGGGAGTGGCGTACTTTTCCAAAATATTTCCTCTTTTTTCTTTTCCTGTTTCTGCATTTAGAGCTTCTGTGGTGATACCTGAGGAGAAGATGCCTGAGCTGTACAACATTCTACAGAGCATACCCCAGCGGCAGATTGAAGAAATGCAGAGACAGGTAGAATTGATAATCCATTAATACGCAGAAATAGAAGATAAACCAATATTGTTTTGCTGTGAGCCAAAGCATGTGTATATATGTCGGGTAACTTTATATGGGGTAAATGTCATGTTTTGCATGTTTCTAAATGTTAGCATTTGATTTGTTCAAATTGTTATAGTATCATACTGTTTTTAATTTGACTGTTGTTTAGCTTGATGATGATGATGATTTTTAATGGACTTTGTTTCTTTGTTTTTGTATTTATGTGTTTTAAAGTATAGTGGCAGGACCTGACTTACTTGTTTGGACTGCGAGCAAAGCAGGTTTGGGATCCAGTTAGTGCTCTGGTCAGAGACCTCTAGGAAATATCAGGGCTGTAGGCTAGATGGAGAATGTGAAACAAACATCCAGAAAGAAAGCAACAGGGGTTCTTTTCCATATTGTTGCCAAGAAAACTACATGGATATGCTCATAAAGCCACTAGGAGATGAACTTGACTTGGAGACCTTGGCCATGTTATTTAACTCCCCTCTCCCCCTGTAAATTATTATTATATTTTTATCCTGCCTTTGAAAATTATATATACTGTATGTATATGTATAAATATAAATATAAATAAATAAAAACTCAGGGCGGTGAATATACCTAATACTCCTGCCTCCTATTTTCCCCACAACAACAGGTAGTTGTTTCCCTGTGAGGTAGGCTGGGCTGAGAGAGAGTGACTGGCTCAAAGTCACCCAGCCGGCTTTCATGCTGAAGGGAGGCCCAGAACTCCCAGTCTCCTGTTTTCTAGGCCAGCACCTTCACCACTATACCAAACTGGCTCTCCATAACTCAATAACTCTGGGCTCCTCTGGGAAGAAAGACAGCACAGAAACTAAATAAATGTTGACCTGTGTATTACATAATTTGAATTTTGTCATGCTGAAGATTATTTTACGTACTTTAGTTGTAGATTATGTAAATCAGACTCTGGCTTTGTGAGCATAGTAAATGAATGAATGAAGGATTAAATAAATTGATGACATGCCGTTTATAACACTTCACAGATGCTTTTAAGAAGGTGGCAGACACCTGATCAATATTGTACATTACAAAATGAAAGCCACACTTTTTAAAAGAACATTATTAAGTTTTAAAAAGCAAAAGGATAAAAGCAAACAAGAACTAATAGTCAAGAAGGGTAGAAATTATTAGTTCTTGTTTGCTTTTATCCTTTTGCTTTTTAAAACTTAATGAAGCCACACTTTCAAAGTATGCAGTGCAAATTCTGGGAGCAGTGAGGTACCTGCTTCTCTGTTTATCTTAGATATTTACACAGACATGGTCATATAACAATTATTATTGTCTGTGCCAAGTGTTTAATGATAAAATAGGAAGACAACTCTAAGAGTGAGGTTATCTAAATATGTAGATAAAAGGAAAGTTGGATAAATAAATGATAAACGCATGTGATTCAGGAGAACTGACATTCAGAGTTCAGAGATAAAGTCTGTTAGAACTTTAAACAAAGGTTTGTTTCTTTTTAGAATGATAATCCAACATCAATTTAAAAATGTGAACCTTCTGTTTTGGAGCACAGATCAGTTGAATGTTCAAGATTTCTTTGGAAAAACAAAGCCTGTAACTTGTTTTAAAGAACTTTAATGAGGAATCAGTCTATCAGCCCTATCCATTATAAAAATAAATGTGTCTAGGGAATGTAATCAAGGTTACAAGGATGATATTGAAATATATGAAATCAAGCATAAATATCAGGAAAACTCATACTGTAATATGAAGGCCAAATTTTGAGGGGGTAGTAATTTTCCTATTCAAGTCACTTGACATGAGACAGTCCTGGAAACTAATGTGGACTTGGATTATTTATGAGGTAATTAGATTACTTAAGTGTGTGAGAGAGATCCCACTGAGATTTTTCTTTTGCTGTAAGGTTTTGCCAATATGACAAATAGCCAGAAGAGGTCTCTGCTCCCTTGATTCATTCTGATTTTCATAGCCTTTTGCTAGACTCTCTATTTGGAGATAGACGAGGTTAGTTCAACAGTACAGTTATGCTAGAAATGGTTAACTTCTGAGTACGACTGAGAATAGGGGGTTGTCTTTACTGCAAGTGTATTAATGAGGAATTCCTTCCGGGGGATGTGGAGGTTGAGACAGCCAGGGTTTACGTGAACTTTTGAGTCTTAAATTTTATTATATTTACCCTCTTTTGGAGCATAATCTCTAAAGCAAATTA